CGTCCGTGGTGTCATATTGTTTCACACATAATCCATGAGGTACTTTTTTTAATGTGTGTTCATGGTTGAATATGTTTGTGTGTTTGTTGTATGTGGTTGAATATGTTTGTGTTTGTTGTATGTGGTTGAATATGTTTGTGTGTTTGTTGTATGTGGTTGAATATGTTTGTGTGTTTGTTGTATGTGGTTGAACATGTTTGTGTGTTTGTTGTATGTGGTTGAACATGTTTGTGTGTTTGTTGTATGTACTGAACATGTTTGTTGTATGTGGCTGAACATGTTTGTGTGTTTGTTGTATGTGGTTGAATATGTTTGTGTGTTTGTTGTATGTGGCTGAACATGTTTGTGTGTTTGTTGTATGTGGCTGAACATGTTTGTGTGTTTGTTGTATGTGGTTGAACACGTTTGTGTGTTTGTTGTATGTGGTTGAACATGTTTGTGTGTTTGTTGTATGTGGTTGAACATGTTTGTGTGTTTGTTGTATGTGGCTGAACATGTTTGTGTGTTTGTTATATGTTGTTGAACATGTTTGTGTGTTTGTTATACAGTACATGAGAGGAAGAGAGAGGGAAGAAGAGACTGGTGAAGGGTAACATGACCTGGTCCTCGTAATGTTGAACATGACCAGAGTGTGGACCAAGACGGCTCCCTTGACACACACCTTAACAACATCCACTGCTGCTGCTGGTTGAGTTATTTTATGGATGCTTATGTTAGGGTAACCAACATTAGGTTAACATAGGTTAGTTTAAATTAGGTTAAGGTTGGATTGAGTTACGTTGGTTTAGGTTAAGGATAGATTAGGTTAAGGTTGTGTTCTGATATAAAGGTTAAACAAGTGAATGAATAAACAGATAAATATATAAATGCATAATAATTATCTAAATGACTTTAATGTCCTTTGCGTGTCAACTGTTAATTTTTTTTCGGCTAGGATGTAAATATTGGAAAAAATAATTCAGTAATTTCCGCTTTTGTCAAACTATTTTACTCGTTATATTCGCATCCTTGTGGCGTTAATGATGTTGAGGAATTATTATTATTATTATCATTATTAAATTTGGCTTTTTTATTTTGGGGATCGACTGAAGATTAAAGACCCTAATACTACTTTGATGGGTTAAGTTAGGTTAGAGTCAAAGAGATTAATTAATCACGTGAAATAAACCGGGATGCATAATATTCACATGATTGATGACCGAGAGAAGAATTAAACTTTATCGATCGATTTTATCATAAATCAATTAGCATAATGGTTATAAGAAAAGCCGGGAGCAGCAGTTGTTAGAGCAAGGTAACAAGGTAGGCGGGGGCGGGGGTGGGGTCAGTGGCCGCGTGAGTGGTCTTTAACTCGAGTCTCAGTTGTGTGTGTTGGCTCGGTCGAGGAGGTGGTAGCAGGCGCCTCCTCCCTCCCTGCCACTCACTCACACACACGACTCCTACCCATACAATATACTCTCAAAGTTACAATGCCAATATAATGGTGATTTAAATATTGTACTGTTGTATTTACGAGAGAAAATGTGTGTGGGTTTAGTAGTGAACTCATTCTCCATGAAACTTTGAAAGCTGTGCCATTAAACGTCTCAAGTGCTGTTGGTTATACAGAATTTCCTGTATGTGTTTACTGAACTTGAGGTAAGTGAGTGCCTGTTATTGTTTATATAATTTTTACGAGTTAGGTGCATGGGTGCGCTCTCTCTCTCATAACATTTACCTGGCTGCTGCTAAACACGGAGGAGTTATTACCGTTGATTAATTATAACCTGGAGACTGGCTGACAGACGGCAAGTAATTAGCCTGTAGAAGAGGTGAACATTTTTCCCTGGACTCAGCTGATAACTTGAACGTCAGCAGGTGAGTCAGCTACCTGTCAGCCTACGTTGCCAGGGAGAGTTTGACGAGATGAATAATTTGACTTCAGTGTTAACAGGTGTACACAGGTATCCTCCCCCTCTCTCACCTGGTCATTAGTGAAGGTGAGATAATGGAGAAACAATGAGAGATATGAACGCCTTGTAAGTGAGAATGTCAGATTTAACTCCCTCACTTATAAAACTCCCTCACTTATAAAACTCCCTCACTTATAAAACTCCCTCACTTATAAAACTCCCACACTTATAAAACTCCCTCACTTATAAAACTCCCACACTTATAAAACTCCCTCACTTATAAAACTCCCTCACTTATAAAACTCCCTCACTTATAAAACTCCCTCACTTATAAAACTCCCTCACTTATAAAACTCCCTCACTTATAAAACTCCCTCACTTATAAAACTCCCTCACTTATAAAACTCCCTCACTTATAAAACTCCCTCACTTATAAAACTCCCTCACTTATAAACTCCCTCACTTATAAACCCTCACTTATAAACCTCACTTATAAAACCCCACACTTATAAAACCCCACACTTATAAAACTCCCACACTTATAAAACTCCTCACTTAAAACTCCTCACTTATCAAACTCCCACACCTATAAAACCTCACTTATAAAACTCCTCACTTATAAACACTCTAAAACTCCCACACTTATAAAACTTATAAAACTCCCACACTTATAAAACTCCCACACCCTATAAACTCCCACACTTATAAAAACTCCTCACTTATAAAACTCCCACTTATAAAACTTATAAAACTCCCTCACTTATAAAACTCCCTCACTTATAAAACTCCCTCACTTATAAAACTCCCTCACTTATAAAACTCCCACACTTATAAAACTCCCTCACTTATAAAACTCCCTCACTTATAAAACTCCCACACTTATAAAACTCCCACACTTATAAAACTCCCTCACTTATAAAACTCCCTCACTTATAAAACTCCCACACTTATAAAACTCCCACACTTATAAAACTCCCACACTTATAAAACTCCCACTTATAAAACTTATAAAACATTGTACAGGTCGTGGTAAGAGAATCATCATGGAGCTGATAGTACTGGAGGTCACCACTAACCTCCTCACCACCTCTACCTCCACCTCTATTGACGCCTCAGCCACTCTACCTCCCTACCTCACACCTCATGGACAGCCAGGTGAGATAATTGTTACCTCACCTTTGTTACCTTTTGTGTTTATTTGCCCGATTAGTGAAGATTGAGGTAACGTGACAGGAATAGGTGGAGAAAGACCTAACCTAACCTCTCTCTCTCTCTCTCTCTCTCTCCCTGTGTAGATAACGTTACCCTGGTCTTCGCCGTCAACGAGACCTGTCAGTATAACTATCGACCTGTTAACTTCACCGAGTACCTGTATGAATACCGCAAGGAGACCTGGATACCTATCACCTGGCGGGAACTCGTTAAGGTGAGTACTATCATATTTTATGAGTACAATGACAACATTTTGTGAGTAACATGACTAAATATTATGAGAAAGATGAATTTTATGAGTACGATGACAACATTTTGTGAGTACGATTATTTAAACCAATGAGGTTAGGTTAGGATAGGCTGGAATAGGTTAGGATAGGCTGGGATAGGTTAGGATAGGTTGGAATAGGTTAGGATAGGCTGGAATAGGGATAGGCTTAGGATAGGCTGGAATAGGTTAGGATAGGCTGGAATAGGTTAGGATAGGCTGGGATAGGTTAGGATAGGTTGGAATAGGTTAGGATAGGCTGGAATAGGTTAGGATATATCTGATGGACCGCTGTACTAGCCCCCCGTGACAGCTTTCATTATTATGGTAATATAAAAACACGCTCCTCCTCCACCTTATTTTTCACTGCTGTATTGTGGTAGAGGAGACTGTGGTGGTAGGTGATGTGACGTACGTGATAGTGTTCTTGTTGTACTGTACAGATATTTCTTTTACTTTTATCCTCTTCGCCACTGATCGGCTTGTTAGCCGCTTGGGCGATCGGTCACGACTCTTTTTCCTTTATATTCTTCACCAAAAGGTCGGCTCGCTAGCCGCCCGGGCGATCGGTCACGTCTCTGTCACGCACTGTTGGCAAATACTGGGCATGCACCGGCTCCTGAATGTACCTGAACCCGCTCCAGTGTTGGTCAAGTCTTCTCTTGAAAGAGCTCACACTCGGTGCCGTCACAACACTTTCTGGTAGATTGTTCCAAGAGTTTACAACCCTCACTCCGAAAAAGTTTGCCCTCACGGTTTTCCGGACTTGCGGCTTCTTCAATCTTGAGCTGTGACCCCTTGTGGGGCGAGCGTCCGCCAGCTCCAAGTAAGGACACTCAACTGAGTAGTGCCCCCTGAGATGCTTATAAACCTCAACTAGGTCCCCCCTTGCCCGTCTGTAGTATAAGCTAGGCAAGTTCAGGCGCTCCAATCTCGCAGGGTAGCTGAGATGCCGAAGTGCAGGCACCAGCTTGGTGGCCCTCCTTTGAACATTTTCAACCAACTGACAGTCCCTAGCATATCTCGGGGACCAGATGGGGTGACAGTACTCCAGATGGGGAAGCACTTCACTCCTGAAGATCGTCACGAGGGACGGACCGTCTAGATATCTGAACGACCTTCTTATAAGACCCAATAATTTATTTGCCTGATTTACCTTCTTCTCACAATGGCCCGAGAACTTCAGCTCATTGTCAACATACACACCTAGGTCCTTCTCACACACAGTCTCAACTAGTACATTTTCTTCATCCCGTTGGGACATATGGTACGCCTCCTTACCGTTGGTACGCCCCAGGTGCATCCTCTTACACTTCGTGACATTGAATCTCAGCAGCCATTCCTTCGACCATTCCTGGAGCCCACAGAGGTCCTTCTGCAGCTCTTCACAGTCCGCTTGGTTCTTAATTTCCCGAAATAACTTGGCGTCATCGGCAAACATTTGTATGGAGGAGTGTACAACGTCAGGCATATCATTTATGAAACAAACAAACAACAGCGGGCCCAATACACTACCCTGCGGTACCCCACTTGTTACAGGTACAGATGACGATTTCGTGCCATTAATCACCACACATTGCTTGCGGTCATGTAGAAAGTCTTCTATCCACGCTAGGACATTTCCCCGAATTCCGTACCCTTCCAGTTTGATTTTCAGCCTTTCGTGGGGTACACTGTCGAAAGCCTTGGCAAAATCTAGGTAAATATTGTCGATATTACCACCCCGTTCTAGAATATGGGTCCAAATATCCAATACCTTGAGCAATTGTGTCAAGCAAGAGCGCCCCGGCATAAAACCGTGTTGGCAATCTTTTACAAGGTTGTTTCGTAGTAGATGTTCCATCGCTGCATCTCTGATAATACTCTCAAGTACTTTACATATTATGCTGGTCAGGCTCACCGGTCTATAGTTGTTCGTGGAGTGCCTATCGCCCTTCTTGAAGATAGGACTCACATAAGCCACTTTCCATTCACTGGGGACCATTTGTTCATCCAGGCATTTACAAAACAGAATCTTCAGGGGCTCTGCAAGCTCGTTGCACAGCTCCCTTAGCACTCTAGGATGCACCATGTCAGGTCCAGGACTCTTATGGACCTTTAGCCTGGACAGTTTATTTCTAATACCCTCTTCTGTGAACACAATGTGGGTCAGTGCTGTGTCGAACCGTCTGTCCTCAAACGCAGGAAGGTTAGTTGCATCCTCTCTTGTGAACACTGAGGAAAAGAAGCTGTTCAATGCCTCAGCTTTATCCTGGTCAGAATCTGCGTAACTACCATCTTCAAGCCTCAGGTCTGATACTCCTACTCGCGTTTTCAATTTCGACTTTGCATAGCGGTAAAACGCCTTTGGGTTTGACTTGACCTCGCGTGCAACCAGCCTTTGGAACTCCTTTTCAGCCCTCCTACACTCTATCTTTGCTTGGTTTCTGGCTCTTGCATACATCCTCCTGTCTTGCTCATCGTTTGACCCAACCCACGTCTTGAATTTCTGGGTTTCTTCTTAATTTTGTCGACCGCCGCATGGTTCATGTGTAGGGATCCCCTCGTATTCCTAGAAGCACTGGGTTTGGTCTTGGGTATATATTTATCGATCAAATGGGTCATTTTACTAGTTATGATATTCAGCGTAGTGTCTGCGTTCTTGTACCTTAATAAGTCAGGCCAGTTGATACCCCTCATCTCTTCCCTCATCCCATTGTAATTTCCCTTGTAATATTTGCACCTTGGCCTGGCCTTATCTTGAACTAGGTAACAGTTAAATCTGAATGACAACACTGTATGGTGACTGGTGCCAACTGGGGCAAGGTGTTCCAGATAGTGGCGTACGTGATAGTGTTCATGGTGTCCTTGGTGGGGAACCTGCTGGTGATCTTGGTCGTCTACTACAACGTACACATGCGCTCCTCCACCAACCAGTACTTGGTGAACCTGGCCGTGGCTGACCTGCTGGTGACTCTCTTGTGTACGTGGGTGCATTTGGTGCGCAACCTCTCCCACCCACACCACGTACTGCCCGCCATCTTCTGTAAACTGGACGGCTTCGCACAAGGTAGGTGTCTCACCCTTCACCCCTCACCTTTCACCCCGTAACACTTGACTTCTCACCCTTGACTCTTCACCCCTCACCCTCACCCCTCACCCCTCACCCCTCACCCCTCACCCTTCACCCCTCACCCTTCACCCTTCACCTCACCCCTCACCTCACCCCCACCCCTCACCCTTCACCCTCACCTCACCTCTCAATTCTTCAATTTCAATTCTTCACCCTTCACCCCCCACCCTTCACCCCTTCTGCCCCTCACCTTCACCCCTCACCTTTCACCCCTCACCCTTCATCCCTCACCCTTCACCCCTCACCCTCACCCTTCACCCTCAGTGTTTCAATATGTTTTGTGTTATATTAGGTATTAATTTTGTAAATTTTTATTGCCTGATTTCTGACTGTGAAACACACACACACACACACACACACACACACACACACACACACACACACACACACACACACACACACACACACACACACACACACACACACACACACACACACACACACACACTCTCACTCTATGACTCCTAAACAACAGCTGACTCACATGACTCAAAAGAACACCATCTCTCTCTCTCTCTTTTGAGTTATGCAGAAGGCGACTCATAATCTTGTCATCTGGTGATCAGTGTATCTCTGAGACTCGTCAATGAATTAATAAATGAATGAATGAATAACTTCCAGAAAAATAAATTCCTTCCTCGTATCAAAAGGTTGAGAGATACTGTATCGTGTATGGCTGTAGAGACGTGAGATAACAGCAGGCAGAGAGAGACCAGTGCACCGCCCGGATATAAGCAGAGGCTAAGGATTATAATGAATAGTTCCGTATTACACACAACACTGTTTCCTCCAGTCACTCTTACAACAGTCATACACCAAAGTTCCCGTCAGTCTCACAGTAACACAACAATGTTCCAGTCAGTCACACTGCCGGCCCACACAGCCTCACAGTCCGTCTTTCAGTCACAACATTTCTTCAGTCAGTCACACAGTCAGCCTCACAGTCAGCCTCACAGCAATACAGAACATAGTCATACTTACACTACTCACCAAAGTATACATAATATTTCTGTATAATCTTTTATAAAACCAAAACATAACGTAGCAGATGTCGGATCAATACTCATCCTCCAAGTGTATTATTGGAAGGTCGTGTCCAATACAAACTGCCTCCGTGATTTTTTTTTCTCCATAATTGTGGTGTGTTGTGTGTTTGGTAACATCTTATTGTTAATTCAGACTGACTCATTCTTCTCTCTCTCTCTCTCTCTAATGCAGGGTATGAAAACACAAAGAGGATAGACAGGAGAATGAATGAAAAAAAAATTAAAATAAAATAGACAATCCACGATTCATCATTCACAGAAAACAATGAAAATAACACTGAATCTTAACTAATATCCCCTTTTAAATCTTGAGTATTATGTATCTTGGAGAATTAAACATAGTGATCATTGTATTGTAATTTTTATCTTATCGTTCGAAGTAATTATAGTACAGTTAATATCGTTTTACATATATCCTGTGTGTCTTTAATAATAATAATAATAATAATAATAATAATAATAACAATAATAAACGGTTTATTAATAGAGTTACACCTGGTGGCTGAAAATATACAGACTTACATTTGTTTAGTAAATATAATACATTGAATACATTTAGGGCTGACACAGTACAATAAGTTGTTTATTATTTTAACAATAGATGGGATGGTTATGTTCTTATATCTCTCTGTCGGTCTATGGGCTGAATTTTTACTTGAGTTGGGTGAGATACTACTAAACTTTGCTATGGTGGGGAGTGCTGAGGATGTGCTGGTGAAGAGCGTTGTTGTAGCCGGAGTAGTCTGCGCCGAGCATGATTCTGCAGGCCCTTTTCTGTACCTTTTCTAGCTACTTGTTGGGTAAGAGAGGAAACCAGGCTAGTGACTACGTTAGTTTGGGGAGAATAAAGGCTGCTGTTGATAGTCCTCAGCTCTGGCGTGGTGTCCCAAGTGACCTAAGTCGTCGTAGCATGTAGAGTCGGTACGAGGCTGCTTTGGTGTTGTTTTACATAGGCCTTCCAGTCCAGTTTGTGGTTACAGAGTTGTGATTCAGGGATGCCTATCTGTTGTGTTGTGGTTGAGGAAGGAGGGTAGAGTAATGCGTTCGTCTTGTCTTAATAAGGTTCCTCCTAAATCCTGCTCTCAGGTCATGGAGGTGCATTTTTCAGTACCACCTGAGGTCGTCCAGGCACATCTCTCTCTCAAGTCAATGCAGTCACACTGCCTCCCTCCACTTTTCAGAGGTCGTCTACAGGCCACACTATCTCTCTCTCACCTCAGTACACCTGGAGGTCGTCTACAGGCCACACTGTCTCTCTCACCTCAGTACACCTGGAGGTCGTCCTGTCTACTCAGCACTGGAGGTCGATAGTACACCTTCTCTCTCCTCATGCAGAGGTCGTCTACAGGGCCACACTGTCTCTCTCACTCAATTTTCAGTTCCCACAGGCCACCTGTCTCTCCCACTTCAGTACACCTGGAGGCGTCTGCAGGCCTCAAACGATGGTGTTTGCATAATAAATCATTATCACCTGGAATCGAAGAACTCATGAATATATAATGTCAGTGTTTTATTCCGCTCTCAGACTGCCTGGTGTGTGTTGCCTCGACCTAACTCTTAGTGTGTGTTGCCTCGACCTAACTCTTGGTGTGTGTTGCCTCGACCTAACTCTTGTGTGTTGCCTCGACTTTTCTGATGTGTTTGTCTCTTGGTGTGTGTTGCCTCGACCTTACTCTTGGTGTGTGTTGGCTCGGCACCTCTTGGTGTGTGCTTCACTCTTGGTGTGTGTTGCCTCGACCTTACTCTGGTGTGTCCTCGACCTAACTCTTGGTGTGTGTGCCTCGACTCTTTGTTGTGTGCCTCGGCCTTACTCTGTGTGTTGACTCGGCCTAACTCTTGGTGTGTGTTGCCTCGACCTAACTCTTGGTGTGTGTTGCCTCGACCTAACTCTTGGTGTGTGTTGCCTCGACCTAACTCTTGGTGTGTGTTGCCTCGAACTCCTCTTGGTGTGTGTTGACTCGACCTTACTCTTGGTGTGTGTTTGCCTCGACCTTACTCTTGGTGTGTGTTGCCTCGACCTCTTGGTGTGTGTTGCCTCGACCTAACTCTTGTGTGTGTTGCCTCGACCTTACTCTTGGTGTGTGTTGCCTCGACCTAACTCTTGGTGTGTGTTGACTCGACCTTCTCTTGGTGTGTGTTGCCTCGACCTTACTCTTGGTGTGTGTTGCCTCGACCTTACTCTTGGTGTGTTGCCTCGACCTATCTTGGTGTGTGTTGACTCGACCTAACTCTTGGTGTGTGTTTGCCTCGACTTTACTCTGGTGTGTGTCGTGCGGATAACCTGTGTCTCGCTCACTACCGGGACCCCAGGTTAGGTTTGGCCTATGGGGTAATGGGCAGACGTTATATCATTTTCCTGACAGCCACTAACCACCACTACTCTTGTCCTGACAGCCACTAGCTACCCTACTCTTGTCCTGACAGCCACTAACCACCACTACTCTTGTCCGACAGCCACTAACCACCCTACTCTTGTCTGGCCACTACCACCACTACTCTTGTCCTGACAGCCACTAACTACCACTACTCTTGTCCTGACAGCCACTAACCACCACTACTCTTGTCCTGACAGCCACTAACCACCACTACTCTTGTCCTGACAGCCACTAACCACCACTACTCTTGCCGCGATAGCCACTAACCACCACTACTCATGCTGCAGCCACTAACCACCACTACTCTTGTCCTGACAGCCACGTCTCTCCTGGCCAGCGTGTTAACATTACATATCAGTGTGGGCAGGTTCGTTGGCTTATCCTGTCTTCGCCAGACCGCGCCCACCGTGTCATCGCTGTGGTGTGGGTGACGTCTGCTCTCTTGTCCTGCCGACGCTTTTTACCGTGAACTGTACAGCATCAGGTGACCTCTTATCCATGTTTTGTACGTGTGTGTGTGTGTGTGTGTGTGTGTGTGTGTGGTGTGTGTGTGTGTATATATGTACGATTGTTGTTGTTGTTGTTGTTGTTGTCTCACCCATTTCTCTTCCTCAGTGGGCCAACTTCACCTCTGGCACTGTAGGCAGTGTCGACCCCAAAGCTCTTCTACATCATACTCAACACCGCCTTCTACTTTCTCCCCGTCAGTATCATGGTCATTAGTTACAGGTGAGCGGTTGTCTTGTACAGGTGAGCGGTTGTCTTGTACAGTGAGCGTTTGTCTTGTCAGGTGAGCGGTTGTCTTGTACAGGTGAGCGGTTATCAGGCACAGGTGAGCGGTTGTCTTGTACAGGTGAGCGGTTGTCTTGTACAGGTGAGCGGTTGTCTTGTACAGGTGGGCGTTGTCTTGTACAGGTGAGCGGTTATCTTGTACAGGTGAGCGGTTATCTTGTACAGGTGAGCGGTTATCAGGCACAGGTGAGCGGTTATCTTGCAGGTGAGCGGTTATCAGGTATAGTTAATTGATGATGTTAATGATGATGATTGATGATGATTGATGATGATGATGATGATGTTGACAGTCTGGTGGTGTGGAGGTTGTGGATGACCTGGCTGCCAGGTGAGCACTGTGTACCTGCCCGCAACACAGCCACACGGGCCAAGAAGAAGGTAGTGAAGATGGTGTCAGTCGTCCTGCTGGTGTTTGTTGTTGGACGCCGCTACAGACCATCATCCTCTACAGTAACTTCTGTCCACGTTGACCATAACTCCGTAAGTCTGTTTGTCAATACGAAGCACAAGTTAATGGTCTGAAGGCCAGTGATAAATTATAACATTCAACACACATATCATCCTCTCCACCTCACCCACGCTCCCCACCCACGCCCTCACCCACGCTCCCTCTCCTCACACACACGCTCCCCACCCACGCCCTCGCCCACGTTCCTCACCACCCACACGCCTCCTCACCTCACACACACGCTCCTCACCCACGCTCCTCACCCCCACAGTTGCCGGAGTGGTTCGAGTGGGAGTTCTCTGCTTACTTCATCGCGTTGTCTAACTCCGCCCTCAACCCCATCATCTACTGCGGCTTCAACGACAACTTTCGCAAAGGTCTCATGTCTTCCTCACCTGCAGACACTCCTCTACCGGCATACACCACCGTCGTGAGTATAACTGTGTCAGACGGCAGGATACACCACCGTCGTGAGTATAACTGTGTCCAGGCGGCAGGATACACCACCGTCGTGAGTATAACTGTGTCAGACGGCAGGATACACCACCGTCGTGAGTATAACTGTGTCAGGCGGCAGGATACACCACCGTCGTGAGATAACGTGTCAGACGGCAGGATACACCACCGTCGTGATAGCTGTGACAGACGGCAGGATACACCACCGTCGTGAGTATAACTGTGTCAGACTTACAGGATACACCACCGTCGTGAGTATAACTGTGTCAGACGGCAGGATACACCACCCACAATCATACGTGCTGCCAGATGTATGTTTGCGGCTCATCATCTGGGGAACTATCAGATAGATCCATAAATTTCCCGGTAAAGAATATCTTGTATAATGGGTGAGAGTGAGTGCAGGTAGGTGCTCATAATTGTCACACCTACATCACATACAGGTAACGGGTGTTTAATTATCACGACCTCCTGTGATCTATTCCTACAGGTAACTGGAGAGGGGTGACGGAGGGGACAAGAGATACGACAGGTGGGGGTTCTGGTCCTGAACCTGTAGTCGTGCTGAGTTTAATTTTTAAACAAAGCAGGTGAGTGTGTGTGTGTGTGTGTGTGTGTGTGTGTGTGTGTGTGTGTGTTTATAGAGAGAAGGGATGACAGGGTGAGATAAACAAATGAATGGGATCTCTCTCACCACCCAACTCTCTGCCAGGTCGGCAGAAGTGCTCCTGACTTACTCACAGTGGCCGGGTCTTGAGGACGAGCGTTTGGAGAAGGACCTCGATCATAACAACCTCAAGGATGATGCTTTAGACCCAACGTGGTACTACTCAGGTCTCTGCTAACCCACGTCTATATCAGCCCATGTTAACCCACGTCTATATCAGTCAGTGTTAACCCACGTCTATATCGGTCCATGTTAACCCACGTCTATATCAGCCCATGTTAACTCACGTCTATATCAGCCCATGTTAACCCACGTCTTCTATGTCTGGTACAGAACCACAGCGGCGGAGGAGATAGTCGCCAGAAGGGTGACGGCTGCCCCCGCATCACTACCTCCACCCCGTGCAACAACCACTGTGTCTGCCTTGTAGGAGACCTGGCGGAGCATCAACGCCCGTCGGGGCATCACCACCTGACGGAGCATCATCACAGTGCTCCAGCGTCCGCCTCCTCCAGGGGCAGGAGCAGAGTGGCCACATGTTGTGGGTGTTGCAGGAGCACCAAGAGCGCCTCCTTCACCCTTTATGACGTAAACAAACTGAAGGGCAATATTAATACTGACACGAAAGAAGACACAGTTTAGAGGGACACATGCGTCTGGTGACACTGGACACATGCGTCTGGGGACACTGGACACATGCGTCTGGGGACACTGGACACATGCGTCTGGTGACACTGGACACATGCGCCTGGTGACACTGGACACATGTCTGGTGACACATAAACATGTAATAATCTTGTATGACGTAATATGGGAAAAAATATGGGAAAAAATATCCGTTTGTTTACGCTGCAGGCCACGTGGGATATAACCTGTAAGATAAGAGCGGTGGCAGACTGGGTAGGGCGCTCACCTGTCCTAAGGGTCGCTGGGGGACCTCCAATAACCCACCAGTGAATGGTGACCAAATTTTACAGATGGTTAGTGAAGATGCAGTGGCGGCCATCCTGTGTACTTACCGTAGAGTGTTCCCTGTTAGAGCTACGAGACCCACTATTGAGAGGTGATGTGATAAGTGTATCCAAAACTTGACTTGTATTATGCAAGATGTGAATAACAGCATTAGAGTAAAGTTCCTCTCATCCTGACCAATTGGGGGATTGACTGTCCGGTTTGACCAAAATTCTGGGTTGGGCGAGGATCTGCATTATCTATATTATATGGCCAAGAATTCTCGAGGATGAGAGATTCCGACTCGGGCTGCCTCAAGAGACCATTAAGATGAGACCACGACCACTTGTCTGTTATATTCCAGGATGTGAGATTGTCGCCAGTATACTGCATTCACGCAATGATAAGTACAATATATCTTAATACTTTAAGTTATTAAGTAGTTTGGATACTGTAGGTTGTCGAAACGAAAATTATGATACCATATTTATAATTATATATCAATAAAGAGTTTATCTGTCTGACCGCTGAGTCAATGTTACATATTGTTGTAGAGGAAATGGTAGACAAGTTAACAGCTCACCCTCAGTTCACCCAGCTGTGAATGGAAACTTAACTTTATAGTTAGTGAAGATGGTCGACTACACCACCTAAATGTGAAATTTTGTAGGTAACGAGGAATTGGACACCTGTTTAGGGTAAAGAATGAAGAAGTCACATAGGGTGTACTGACTCACATCCAATTATTATCATTATTTCTACTTTTCATAATATTTTGCATTATAAAATATCCTGTAGTTTCTTGAATCATTTAGTAATGTTTGTGATTTTTTTGTTGCAAATTGTACATATTTCTCCTAATTTAAATTTAGTTATAATCTTTGTGTGAAATATACTGTAATAGTTTTATTTAGTTGTTGAAAATAGGAAAGAAGATTAAATGAAGTCCTTTAAACGTTATATTGATTTGAAAAGTATTGTGTTACTAAATTTAAAGACTATTTTATGATATAATTGAGTAAATCAGAAATATTATAAGGAAGTTGTAGTCTTACGGGAATAATTAAATACCTATTAAATGGATGGTGGCGCAGGGTGACATGGCTCCACCTGTTGTGTTGTTCTTGGGGGAAATACTGGAGAACTAAGGATTAATTTATTCTCAAAAGACGGGAAAAGGTAAGTTAATAGTTCATACTTTTGGTTTATAAGTAGTGGCGGTTAAATTACAGTTTAATTTATCATTTCAACACTTATCTTCCTATAGCCTTTTGGGTGGCAGTCATTATTATCTTAGTATCTTCCTTCAACGTGAATGTTAGTGGCTAGGTCGTTGTGGTGACTTTGAAAATGTTAATATATATTGTGCATGTGGTAAATATTGTTGAATGATGTAATTGATAAATTATAACAATAACTGAGTCAAATATGGTCTCATGGCTAAGTTACTTAAAATGTTGTTGAGTAAATATTTGACACATGAGGCTTTTCTGACTGACGATATCCAATTAAAGGTTTCCAGAGTCACCAACACCCAAAATCCTCACTATCAAGAGTGATCATATCATTTACAGTTGTCCAGGATTGAACCACATACTGTATCTATAGGTAGGGTTGATCAGGTCAGGTCAGGTTAGGTTAGGTTAGGTCAGGTCACAACATGACATCTGTTTGTCAGTACAGAACAGTATATTATGAGGTCAGATTCTTGTGTGTTTCATGTCTTAGCCACGTACTGTATCTCTATATGAAAATTAGGTTTGTTCAAAGGAAAAACACAGTACAGTATATATTATTAGCAGCACAACCATACCAAGTGAGGTGGAAAAGTCTACTGTACTGAGCTTCTTGTTAGTACAGGACCATATTGTGTTACAAAAACATCAAAGGATAAAAATTTTCAGTTTCTTACTGTAACAAAAGGTCCTTGTCACCAATAGTGTAAGTTAACTAATAAATTGAATAATTGTTTTGGTTAAATTTGTCCTAAACATAATTCAAGTCATCAAGAGTGTCTTCATCATTAATAATAAAGATGTTGATGATGTTTGGTGTGTAACATCAACAATGACCTTCAACTTATGGATAAATTTTGTAATACATTTGTGTGATATTAGACTGTAGCTCCAGCACGACTTCAGCTGACAGTGGTGAGGACAGACCGAGCTGCACCACCCATCTGCTAAACAACGTCCTCTGTCAGGCCTTTGATACTGTAGTAAGAAGCACTGTCCACCAGATGTCACTGCCCTGCTTCCTGCTGTTGTGGGCATCACGAGATACTGTACTACAAGAAGACTGGATTGTCCAGCCTCCTGCCTCATGAGTCGACACAGTTTTGTGACACTAGGTAATGTAAACTATGTGTGCACCATACTGGGAACAACAGTTATCATTGTACAGTAATACACGGAAATGTAGTGAAGAATTGTGTTGGCAATAAACAAACAACCATCATTGATTCACAAGAATTCCACAGTATTTTTTTTACTATTGACTGCAGGATTGTGCAAAACTTACCCATCAGGTTCATAAAAATTTGACGTACAGTACTGGCAGTAGCTAATATTAAGTTGTTTAAACCACTACCCCATCATGATAGCTTCCCAAACCTGTAACAATAATTGTAGGTTTTTGTTTACAGTACATACAAGAGGTGGACCTCCAAGTATGACGTGCTCCAGCCCGTCCTCGACATGTACGGTGAGGTGCAGCGAGTTACCCATTATGACTTGGTCCGCTACATCGAGCTGATCAACAAAGACTTACCAATGGAACTGACATATTTCTTAATGTAAGTCTGGCTCTTCTTACAAAAACCAACTGGCATGATAATTAACTCTCACTAACATAGAATTACAGTAATAATAGAAGAGATGTGTCACTGTAGAAGAGGGTCCCATCGCTGGCTGGGCTGGTGCAGATACAACACACTGTTCACTACATTAAGCATATTTTTGGTACACAGCTGACAGAGACCAACACTGCACTCGACCACTTTTACTTCCTCAACTGTAACATTAGGTACAGTACCCAAAAATTGTCTCTGGGGTAATTGACAGTATTGTAGAAGTGGATACAGGTGCAGTACATATTAGTGGAGGTTGGAGAGGAGTATTGTGAGGTGTTTTTGTTCCCTTTTGACAAATATTGACACAAGCTTACCTGTGTATGGTGTCAACACAACCAGTAAAGCTTGAAGGTTTTATATATATCAGTTCATGATGGTAGATGTTGGAATATTGTGACAGTATGTTTACTACAGAATTTTGTGGATATATTCTTTACTAAATGAACTGTAACTTATCTTGATGTACTGTACTTGTTATCTTATTATTATTATTGCAAGAATACCCTGGTTATCCCAAAGGATACATTCCTAAAAGTCATTGTGAATATGAGGACAATTTTCCCCAGAAGAATTAATGTAAATATTGGGGGGGGGGGGTGCATTCCTAATCGGCAACTTTCACCACATATTTTTCAATATACATTACACTCCCTTTTATATTGTTGACCTTATGATAAACATTTTTAATTTTTTGGGCACATTCTGTGTATACATGTTACAGAGTAAAAAAATAATAATAATTAAATATGTAAATCGACCCAAAAATACAAGTTGAAAAATAACAATAACTCGGCTCACAGCTTGTGATTGATTCTACCGGGAAACACATTACTGATCTACCTCGGGGTAACTAGACCAACCAATTACTTCAGTTATCTTTTGAAGAACTGTAAGATTTTGAATTATTAACATTGATAAAATTTATTGAGCTATATGTATCTATCTATATTTACCAAGCCATTCACTAACTAAAACCTATTTAATTATTCATGTGTCAATCTATCTATCCATCTAGTTGGAATTTTTGGTGATGATTTAGCAATGTTAGTTACGTAGTTAACTCACAGACGGCGTTAATGTTCTCGTCGTCTCGTGTTAATATATTATTATTTTCTTGAGTACAACATTCCTTCACAAATACAAGTCACTATTAAGAATGTGTATCTTAAGGAACAAATATTTATCATTCATCTATATATCTATCTACCTAAAATTCTTAAGTATGTGCAGTTATTTTTACTTTATTATGTACAATTTTCATTATGGTTTTACTAAGTTACTTTACATAGTTAAGTATAAAGTCTCAGAAGGTCGGTTGAGTGAAACAGTAAGAGTCACATTTTCTTTTATTGGTTTATTTGAGATCAATTACAGTACAGTGCATTGTATTCATTACCATTGAGACTAGATAATACTGCACTGGGTGTTATGGTGTAAGGCACATAATACTGGTAACTTAATGTCTAGGAAGATGAAAAGCACCACTAACATTCCAAGTAGAACTCAATATATTCCTAAATTCCAAGTTAGAACCTGGCTTATTCCTAAATTCTAAGATGGAACCTGGCATACATATTCCTAAATTCTAAGTTACAACTCTTTATATTCCAAAATTCCAAATCAAAACTCCTATAGATTCTTAAATGTACATGCTGTAGATTCTTAAACACTCTTATGGTCACAGTAGATCACATTATAGCAGGGCGTGGATGGCTGGGGTCGAGTACCATTGTGTTAGGTTACTGAAACACACACACACGGCAGTCAGCCAAACATTTTTTGCCTGAATGTTGACAAGAGGATGATAAATAGTACTTTCTACCTTGATCACCTGAAAATTAGAAACCTTAGCTTATATCACCTGAAGTTTAACCACTCTAATGCTACCTGAATGGGTTAGGTCAAGTCCAGTTAGATTAAGATAGGTTAGGGCAGAGTAAGTTAGGTTAGGGTAACAAAGGTTAGGTCCAGTTAGGGTAAGTTTAGGTTAGGGCAGGGTAAGTTAGGTTCGGGTAATAAAGGTTAGGTTAAGTCCAGTTAGGGTAAGATAGGTTAGGGTAGGGTAAGTTAGGTTAGGGTAGTGTCGGTTTGGTTATGTTAGGAGTAGGGTGGCCAATTTTCAGGTGAATTAAGCTGAGGTGTCTAATCTGCAGGTAATCGCAGTTTCCTCCATCACAGTAGTGGCCCATGTGTATTGTGGTGACTCATCAGTACACACGTGACACTACAGCCTGGCCAAGAACTTAAATCTAACTTCTACTAACCATAACATAGTTGATGATATAACAACAAAAGACAAACTCATAACGTGCAGGTAAACACATGGACGTAGAAACCTGTGATGCTTCATCGTCAAGTGAGCTGCCAAAGACAGTTGAGGCAATGCTGTGTGCTGTATTGTATACATGAGAGAGTGTAAGCCATGAGTTGGGGTCCGGTTCAGTCATAATGTCACTTAATCCAAAGTAGAGTACTCCCTACATTGTTATCTCCCCTGGAGGTACCACTGGACAGGCCACTACCACTGGAGGTTAAGGGGGTTGTCCTGGCACAGTATCCTACGAGGGGTGGTGCCGGTATCCCCCATAAGGGTCACCTGAGAACCATCGTGAACGGCATAGAACTTTGAGGGCTGGGTGGCTGGCAGGTCCTGTAGGAGGGCTGGATCCAGACCTGTGTCCTCATACAGCACGGCGTCTCCTCTAGCCTTCCACGTAACTGGGCCGTTGGCAACTCGCGACAGGTCAATGTAAACATGGTAATTGGCTGGAAAAATATATGCCATATTATTACAGCTATATGAAGTTCTGTATACTGTAGGAGGTACAGTGTTGTATAATATATCATTTGTATCACGTAAAACACACAGGATCATGTCAACATTGAACTGACATGACCAGGTATTGAACTTAATATCATGGTGCTCACAAACCCATGTCCTGTCCACATGGTTCAGTACTCACCAGGTATGACATTCAAGAGAACGAGTGGCATGTGTGGGGTCCGCCAGGCAGCCATGATGTTGACACACCAGCTGGGGGGTGAGGCCCAGGATTTGAGGTTTCCTGCGACCCTGTACTTGTACCCGTCAGCCTCTACTGCCACCCAGTTTGTTGTGGCTGGCAATATGAGAGCACTTGTACTACTGTGTACACACTGGAACACTTGTGTACACTGGAACACTTGTACATACTGGAACACTTGTACATACTGGAACACTTGTACACACTGGAACACTTGTACATACTGGAACACTTATATACACTGGAACACTTGTACATACTGGAACACTTGTACATACTGGAACACTTGTACACACTGAAACACTTGTATACACTGAAACACTTGTACACACTGAAACACTTGTACACACTGGAACACTTGTACACACTGGAACACTTGTACATACTGGAACACTTGTACATACTGGAACACTTGTACATACTGGAACACTTGTACACACTGGAACACTTGTACATACTGGAACACTTGTACACACTGGAACACTTGTACACACTGGAACACTTGTACATACTGGAACACTTGTACATACTGGAACACTTGTACATACTGGAACACTTATACACACTGGAGCACTTGTACAGACTGGAACACTTGTACACACTGGAGCACTCTTACCAGCAGAGAGAAAGTGGAAGGCTCCTGGTGTCCTGTACAGTTTGGGACGATCACTAGTGTCGGAGAGTGGTCCTGGCTTGTTGGAGACCCTGCACTCCACCATTCCTCCCTCAAGTGGCAGCACCGTCACTGAACTACACCTTGGCACTACTTGACACTTACGGCGACACTCACCTGGTTCAGTGACGAGAGAGAGATGAGGTGAGGGAGAGAGGGGGGTTGAGGTGAGGGAGAGAGGGGGGGGTGAGGTGAGGGAGAGAGGGGTGAGGTGAGGGAGAGAGGGGGTGAGGTGGGGGAGGTGAGGGAAGGAGAGGGGTTAGGTGGGGGGGGGATTATCAGCAGAGTTACCACAAACGTCGAGGAAAATTTCTGAGCTAAAAACAAAACGAAAAACATTTGTCCAGACTTTACCTAACCTACCCAACCTTACCCTACCCCTACCCTTGCCTACACCACCTTACCCTATCCTTGCCCAATCCCCCAGGTAATGGTAAGCTGTTTAATCACCAGGTGAAATAAATCAGGGTGTCTAATCTCCAGTTTATATAAATATGTCCCTGGTTCATGTGAGTCATGACAACGACCCCTGCACAGCACCACACAAGCATGGTGTATCCTGCCTCACTACCACCACCAATTACCATAATTTATTTACCTGTAGACTGGCATGTGGATAGATCACCTGTCCCGGGAAGCCATGAAGACGTGCGTGCGTGCGTGTGTGTGTTTGTTAATAAGTAATAAATGAGAGGTGGATTCTTGTTAATGTGTGTGTGTGTGACTAACAAGGATACTTTTTACTCATACTTCAGATACCTTTATATTCACTGAAGACTTCACCACACAAGACATCATAGGTAATGGTGAGGTTATGTATGGTGTGTGACCTCTGGTATATAGTGACCAGACATGACAGCTATAGGTGTGGTAGTGCATTATGTGTGGACTGCCTTAAAAAATAATGGCATTCCTCAAAGTACTGTATTGGTGTTGTGGTATTTATTGAGCGACCTGCCTGTCCTATTGACCAATTTACCTGTGTCTCAACCTGCCTACACACACACACACACACTCACTCACACACACACTCACTCACACACTAACACACTCACTCACACACTCACAAACACTCACAGGTAGAGTTGGCAGCCACCACCCTGTACTCAGCTGTGTCGTTCATAGAGTAGCCGTAGATCTTGTAGTAGTGATCGAAGCCATCTTGGATGAGGTCAACAAACTTCACTGGGGCGGCGACTGTGGCTGTGTGGATGAGTGCCACCACCACCACAACCCACCTGTCCACCATCATCTCCACCACCTCCTCCCTCAGTCACAGGTTGTAGGAGCACGATGTGTGGTTGGTGAGAAGAGCACTTGTGAGTGTGGTGAGGGCTGGCCAACTACTACTGTACTTTACTAGGGTCTGCCTCTGCCCTCACCAGCACCAGTGTACGCAGTCGCAAGAGTTCCCAGAGGCGCTGTGGACCAACACACACACACACACACACACACACTCTCTCGTTCGAATATCCATAACTTACATAAGAACTATTGCTGAACTTCTGGTGAACAAAGTTTTTCGTTATTCTTTCACAGAAAAATGTCATAGATGTTTGTGTGTCTTCTTGGTTATTTGTGTACAATACTCCTTGTACACTCTGGCTATGTTAACATAGTTCTTGGTCAGGTTAGGTTGGGTTAAATTAGATTAGATTAAGTTAGGGAGAAGAGAGAGACACCTTATCTATGCAATCTTATCAACTCATAATTCTAAGAATATATCACTATGGTGACACTGGAATATGCAAGAAACCTTTATATCCTTATCATGGTTATCAGGTGACTTGAGAAGCAGCCTTTGTTGATGTGGCCAGGCTAGACTATACCTCTGCCAAGTCCGGAGTGTGACAAGGTGCCTCCATGAGAGAGTAACGCGGTACAATAGAGTGAGTTACAGGTAGCGTAGCCAGGTGATATGGCCACAGTATAGGTAATAGTGTGTCGTGCCTCAAGGGGTGAAGCACCAGCCTTGAGGTGCACCCTACACACGATCACCAAGCCCATAGTCCATTCTACAATAAATCTCACCAATTTACTCACACACAGGTAAATACAGTGTCCCTCTATTTCCAAGTTATGTTTGAGTGGTCCAAATAAATACACCATTTCTATAAAGTTACTTAAGAAATGAGACGTCTTAACATGTGACCAAATTTAATTTATAACTGTAGTGTCCTTCTCTAGTGACCATTATATCTGTGTTACGTTCCAGTGGGGGTGATGGTGAGTTCTGGAGGTGGTTGGTGAGCGTGGTGGTAGAAAATGGTGCTGCGGCGATATCTGTGTGGTAGACGGCTGTGTTTGGAGGGGCTAACGTGGATGGTGTTCCTGAGTTTGTGTGTGGCCGTCTACTATAGTCTAGATCCTCCTGACGTACGTACGTCGGTAAGTTACCAGGTTAACTCGCATACAATTACCAACCATCCTCTTGTTAACATGAGTGCAGGTTACAATATATTGGTACAGGTTACAGGACACAATATATTGGTACAGGTTACAGAACACATTATATTGGGACAAGTTACAGGACATTGTATATTGGTACAGGTTACAGGACACATTATATTGGGACAAGTTACAGGACATTGTATATTGGTACAGGTTACAGGACACAATATATTGGTTCAGGTTACAGGACACATTATATTGGTACAGGTTACAGGACACAATATATTGGTACAGGTTACAGGACACATTATATTAGTACAGGTTACAGGACACAATATATTGGTTCAGGTTACAGGACACAATATATTGGTACAGGTTACAGGACACAATATATTGGTACAGGTTACAGGACACATTATATTAGTACAGGTTACAGGACACAATATATTGGTACAGGTTACAGGACACAATATATTGGTACAGGTTACAGGACACATTATATTGGTACAGGACACAATCTGTTGGTCTTATTAACCTTTGACCCCTGGGTGACCAACAGGTGGAGGAGGTCACCTTACCTGCCAGGTGGATGTTGAGTGACCAGCTGACCCAACGACTCGACCACCGCCGCCACCACCTACAGAAGGTAACTCATATGTCATACCATGTAACTCATATTGTGTCATACCATGTAACTCATATGTTATACCAGGTAACTCATTATACCAGGTAATTCATTATACATTTGCACTTGGTAACTTCTTGTATGCCTTTATATCAAGCCTTAGAGTATATCAACTTTTGTAGATGTGTAAGAAATATGGTTTAGATGTATCAACTCCCGTCAACCACATCTGGAGTGCAGGGTTCGTGGTCAGCCGGGAACACTCGCTGGTCTGGTGTCCCGTGTATAAGGCGGCTTCCTCCACCTGGCTCTGGAATTTCAACTTGTTGGCCGGATACACCCAAGCTGACCTGCTGGACAACATACACCGCCCCTTGCCCATGGCCAGAGAGAAGTACCCGAGGTGTGTGTGTGTACAGCTCCGTTCAATCACCTGTTCGTGTCGGTTCTAACTTGAGTATGTACGTGTATCTGTCCATCTGTTTGCCTGTCTGTCTATATTTCTGTCTGTATCTCATCTGTGTTTGTTTCCATCCAAATGTCAGTCAGTTCTAACTAATGTCTTTTTTGTGTGCTCGTCCATCCGTGTATGTTCATTTCCATTCATCCGTCCATCCAACTCTCCAAGAAACATTTGCCATAGGATACATATACAAGTTATATTAATAATTTCTCACATCACCAGTTAAAAGGGAAAATCTTTTATCCAGTTAATATATTTTCTCAACAGTTAGGGGGGAATTATTTCAGGTATGGACTCCTGATAATCCACAGGTTGAACCAATTACCTGTTGCTACTAGTTAGGAGGAAATTTGTACATAGGATTAGTATCAGTAAGAGTCATGGTGGTGAGGAGGCTTATGCGAGATGGTAGTGTAAATGGTTTTGTAAATGGCAGTGTAGATGAAAGTGTAAGTGGCAGTATATCAGTGTAAGAAATAAAGGTCTTACGTGTACTGTACTGTTAATATTGTTATCAGAATCTAATCAGATAGTAATCCCTTACTGGGCATAATCCTACCAGTCTAATTTCCTCTTCAATCCTAATATCCAGATAGATTAGGTTAATATCTTGGCAGGTTAGACCAGAGTCAAGTATAGAGTCCAACATGTGTACTGTTTACTGTCCTTTCCCTGACTGTTGTTTGCTTTAATCATTGTTTATAATCATTGTTGTCTTGGTTGATCGAGTTATTGATTATCTTTTATTCTTGTTTATCTTTCATTTTTTATTGGATATATCTGTTGTATACATAAGGGGCTGCTGAAGGCTTAACTCACATAAGGAACAATGACTGAAAATTCTTATCTCTGATGTAGCGACTCTTCTCGCTTTTTTTGATGATATGTCATCTCTATGTATTTCCGTTGACCTAAATATTTCCCTCATTTAGTATTTTTGTTTATCTTATTTGTACTTATTTTCTATCTATCTTATCTCTGTATTTACCCTTTTATTAATCTATCTGGTATTTACAATAGAATCTTCATTTAGCGGACACCAATCTAACAAGTACAGTCGGTTATATGAGAGAGGTTCACATCAAATGGACCTTGATATAATAGACTGCACTCTCCTATATGGTCTGTTATTTGGAGGTTTAATATCTAATACACCTCGATGTAAGGGACTGCACTCTCCCATGTGGTCCGTTAAATATAGGTTTTCCACAGCCCAAGCCTAGCAGAGTTGAAGTCAGTGTTGGCAGGCAGTCCACCTCCACTGTCCTTCATGATTGCTCGCCACCCGTTACTGCGGCTTGTCTCAGCCTACAGGTATGGTGATGCCCCAACCTAACCTATACTAAACTAAACTAATTTAATGTAACTTAATCTCGACTAACCTAACTTGGCTTAACCTAATCTAACCTAGCCTTATTAATACAGCCTAGCCTAACCTAACTTAATCTAATATGTTTTGTAGGTAGGTTAGGTAAGATTAGGTTAGGTTAGTTTTAGTAAGGTTAGATCAGGTAATAATCACTTAAAATAAGCTGGGGTGCCCAATATGCCCGGCATCTCAATTATGTGCACCAATAAATATACTTTATCAGACGTTACCTCACACACACACACCTTAAGATAATACTGTACCCTAGATGTTAATTGTCAGTATACTACCTGTATTATTCACCGACAACCTATTCAGTGTAGGTACAGTACTCCCGAGCTGATTCTGAATCTATGGTCGATAATTTGATTGCGAGGTAATTAATGGTACCTGTAGTACGGTAATGATACTCGGAGCATTTTAATTATTTCACGACTGATTATTTGCCAACTATGGGTTTCTGAGGTGTGATTGTGGTGTTTTTTTCCTGGAAGTACTTAATTATTTAAGCCTGTTAAATTCCACTCCCGAGAGATAATTATATTTGGGTGTAAATAATATTAAGACAATATACTTGAAGTTTCAGCTATTTTCGTCCCAAATTAGAGTTTGTTCAAGATCTCAGTACAGTATAGAGATCAACAGAGTGATATACTGTACTTGTGATAGTGTCAGGATAAATTAGGATATATGAGAGTTAATGACATTCTTATGTGGTGAGTTAGGGAAAAAGTATTGGAACTTAGGCTTAACTTCCACTATAGAAACTCTTTGATGTGTGTGTGTGTGTGTGTGTGTGTGTGTGTGTGCAAAAAGACAAAGTAGTAACTAATGGAGAATAGTAATTAAGAGTTACAACAGTTATCTTGATGTAGTGATGCAATACAGCGATAATTTAATTACTGTACTTGTTCATTGCTACCTCTCCCCTTCATAATATTCCTACCCCCATGATATTCCTACCCCCATGATATTCTCACCCCCATCATAATATCATCACCCCATCATGACATATCTACCCCCATAGTATCACCCCTCGTCATATCTCCCCCTGCTCCATTAAAATCTCACCCTCCTCTCTCATTAGGAATAAGTTGTTGGTGGACAGGAAGAATTACCGCCAGACAGTTCGGACCATGAAATCACGGCATCCTGAACTCGGGGCAACAGGGCCTTGGGGGTGGCTGGAGTCACTGCCCCTTCACATAGGCATTCCCACCTTCAGGCAATTTGTACAGTACCTACTGGAGAGGTACGCCAAACACCTGCCCTTAAACGAACACTGGATCCCTGCCACTAGCTACTGTACACCCTGTCTAATCAACTACACTGTGTTGGCCAAGGTAAGGTTAACTACACTGTGTTGGCCAAAGTAAGGTTAACTACACTGAGATTGGACACTGGTATAGTGAGGATAATATGGGGGTGAGAGAGAGAGCTCTTTATGTTTTAACCATTGTTTCTCCCACAGGTTGAGACTCTGGAGGAGGATGCCAAGTATATAATCTTCACCTCTGGTATGTACTGTACTGTGCTGCACTGTACTATGCTCTACTGTACTGTACTCTACTGTGCTCTACTGTACTCTACTCTTTTCATTAACCACTATCAACAACTAAGCAATATACAGTATACTAATTTTATCTTGTTTTATTAAATCTCAAGTGTCTGTGTGTGCATGTAATGATAATAATAATAATAAACAGTTTATTAATAGAGTTGCAGCCGGTGGCTGAAAATATACAGACTTACATTTGATTTAGACATAATGATATAATATGCATTGAATACATTTACAGGGCTGTACAGTACATAAATCAGGAGTTGTTTATTATTTTAACAATAGATGGGATGGTGCTGTTCTTATATCTATCGGTGCGGGCTCTTATGGGCTGAATTTTGTTGTAGTGGCGGACTGCGCGAGTTGGGTGGGGGACTGCCGGTGGCAGGAGGTGGCAATGACGAGGATGGTGCAGTAGTCCACTGCCAAACCTTGCTAGTACTTGGTGGTGGAGGTCACTGAGGGATGGCATTTCCAGGGTGGAGAGAGCGTTGTTGTAGCCGGAGTAGTCTGCGCCGAGCATGATTCTGCAGGCCCTTTTCTGTACGTTCTCTAGCCGACGTTGTTGGGTAGAGTTGAGAGAAGACGACCAGGCTGGTGACGCATACATTAGTTTGGGGAGAATAAAGGCGCTGTAGATAGTCCTCAGCTCTGGCGTGGGTGCCCCAAGTGACCTAAGTCGTCGTAGCATGTAGGTGGCATCTGCCTTGATTGTGTTGTTTACATGGGCCTTCCAGTCCAGTTTGTGGTCTATGGTAACACCCAGGAGTTTGGCAGACTGCACTAATTGGAGAGGATGGGCACCCATTGTGACTGCTGGAACTTGCACTGGAGTGGTGGCGGTATTGATGTACATGACTACGGTTTTGGTGTGGTTGATGGTGACCTTGTTCTCCGTAGTCCATGCCTGTAGCCTGTCCAGGGTGCCTTGTAGCGATGAGTAGTCTGGTGAGGTGCATGTGTGTGTGTGTGTGATGCCAACAGCTGGGGTGAGTCTTGTAAGTAAGTGAAGGGGGAACTATTCAACTGATACTTTTCTTTACAGTTTATACTGTAGGTGGAAATGTGTTAACTCCCAGGTGTCTCTTGCAGGTATCCAGGGGATTGTGGCCCCCCGGGTCATCAACAGGTCACAGGATGGAGCCACCAGTGACCTGGCAGACCACTACCTGTGTCAGCTGTCACATGACCAGATGACAAAGCTCATTGACCTCTACAAGTATGACATATTGTTGTTTGAGTACGACATTCAGAGGTACCTTGACTGTACTGCAAATAAATAAAGTTTGTATTGTAATTGTTTATTTTATACTTTCTCGGGCATTATATATATACTTGTACAGTATATACATATAGTGTCAGGTAATAGTTATTAAATAAAGCAAACGACTGAACACTACACTATGTAAAGTTCCTTTGATATAAAAATAATTATTTTGGGAGAACAGAGTACAAGTTTTATGCCACAAGTAAATATTATAAAAGTTAACTAACAAGATCACTTAACACTTGTGTCACCACCAACATGATCATTATAACAATTACTCTACAACTTAATTCTGAATTTGTTACTTAGGCATTCAGTATTTGGTGCACTGTAAGGTTACTGATGCACTGTAAGGTTATTGGTCCACTGGTAGGTTGTTGGTACACTAAAGATATTGATGCACTGTAAGGTTATTGATGCACTGTAAAGTTATTGATGCACTGTAAGGTTATTGATGCACTGTAAGGTTATTGATGCACTGTAAGGTTATTGATGCATTGTAAGATTATTGATGATTCTCAAGATGGTGTTCATTATTCATAAGTTACGGACAGACCTGTTCCTCCTCTCACTATGACTCGGTAAACCTTGTCTGTACTCTGGCATTCACCAGCATCTTACTAAGAATTTTCCTCCAAAAACGCAATTATTTCTGGAGCTCCTTCACCAATCTTGGGCACCTCACAATCGCCACCGAAGTAAGCGTGAACCTTGGCCGGTATAAGATGTTGGCCGTCAGTGTCCTCCTGCAGACACATTCCTCTGAACACTTCTGTCACACATTCTCTGAGGTCACTTTCTTGCCAGTTGACCTCTTCTTGTCGTTTCTTCTCCAGCAGCTTCAAGAAGGAATTTTTGAGGCAGAATCCTGCTGGAGTAGGGATTTTCCAGTAACGGGAATCCCACCAGCAGAACTGATTCTTATACTTCTTGGGCATCCAGGGTTCAGCCTTCATGCAGGAGAGGAGAGTCTTGGCGGTGAGGTACACTTGGCGCTCCTGAGGGTCCAGCTGACTCAACACCACCACCTCACAGTTGGCGAAGCTGCCACGCCAGTTTTTATCTACCACGTAGCTGAGAGGTATCACCTGTGAGTTATCGGGTGTGAGACGAGGCTTGTGTACCTCACTAGGCCAAGGAACCACCACCACCGGCACTAAGTCGACGCCGATCAACAGTAGAGGATACTCACTGCCCTGCCAAGACATTAACAGTGTCACGCCTACTTGTGTCTTTGTTAAGCCAGGTGGCACAAGGCTTACTCTCTTGTCCTTAATCTTGTAGCTAACAAGAATCTCCCTCATTCTGAGATAAAGATTGTTTAGCAGTGCATTACCTTGTAGAGCAGCATCTTCTGTTTCGACCTCGATCTTCAACTTATGACCGCTGAGTGATACATCTTTCTCGGGTTGTTCCTTGACTTTAATTGTCACTCCAGAACACGTGTAGAGGAGGAGATTGACGTCATACTCGTCCGGGCAGTAGAGTTTTGTGGCATCTGCGGCGCTTCCTAGCAGCTCCAGTAACCCTCTGTATGTTTCATCTTTACCTGAAACTTTATCTATAATCGCCTTCAGTTCCTGCATCACTATGTCTTTCACCTGTTTCGCTTCACCTTGACAGAAATTAACAGCCACCGACTGTGCATCCATCATCAACTTCCTTAAGTCAATTTGACTGAGAACGTTCTTAGTAGCCTCTCTTGGGTCATTCCATATTTGTGCATTTTGTGGTGATACATTTGTGTCTGTGTGTTTGTGGTACATCTTCAGGTATATGTTGAAGTGTTTGTTTACTTCTTGTGGAGTGGTTCCAGCCCTGCAGGAAGGTTTGCACTGCGGCATAAACTGGGCTAAAACCTGGTAGGTGTCATCATGTCCAAACATTGCTGCGAGATGTGCCGCTGTTTGGCTATACCTGTCAGGCATCAGAGGCTGAGCGCCAAAACTCAGAAGGAGAATAACACAGCTGGTCTTCCCGTGAGAGGCGGCCTGATGGAGGGCGGTCGTCTGGGTCGTAGGATCCACCACTTCGTCAACTGGCAGATTTCCCACCTTGACCAACAGGTAGACCAGCTGCTTTAGTCCATTCTGTGAGGCCAGTAGGAGGGCATGGAGGAGGGGGTCTTGGGGAAGATTCACCTTTAAGTGGCTGGTGTAGAGAATCTCTTGAAGCTCCAACACTTCCTGCACCTGTTGCTTGATCATCTGGTCACTTGTTTTCTCTTCCATCTCCATCAGCTTGTTCCTCTCCTTGTCGTAGATGCTCTGATAAGGACAACACTGACAGCTATAATGTTTTCTTTATAAGTAATGACAAGATTTCAAGACAGACAGGCAGGCATACATATATGCAGACATACACATATGTATGCATATACATATTTAGTCATACAAGCTCACATTAATTTAGCATGTTATGTAAACAGTGCAAGTATACAAATAAACTGTACATACTACATCACACACTATAGCACTACAAAACACTATAACATTGTAACACTACAACACACTATAACATTACAACACACTATAGCATTACAACACACTAGCACTAACACTACAACACACTATAACATTACAACACACTATAGCATTACAACACTACAACACACTATAACATTACAACACACTATAGCATTACAACACTACAACACACTATAACATTACAACACACTATAGCATTACAACACTACAACACACTAGCACTAACACTACAACACACTATAACATTACAACACTACAACACTAGCACTAACACTACAACACAATGATAATACAACACAGCAACACACACCACAACACAACACAGTACAGCAATACAACAGAACAACACTCACTACACCACACTTCAACAACAACACAAACTATAGCACAACCCACTACTACAACTTACAACAACACACACTACAACACAACAACACACTCTTATCATAAGGAGTTAGAGAACAACTGACCTTGTCTATAGAGTGTTGGAGGTCTACAGGCAACATATCCGCCGGCAGTCGACCTCTAGCGTCCTCCTCCACATACAGGCAGCCTCCCATGTGTTTGATTAGCTCCTTCGCCAGACCCCAGTGCTTAGCTTCCAGAGCCGTGCGTACAGGACTCACGTAGGACTTGTCGCGGAGAGAAGGTCGACCACCCGCACGATGAAGGAAGTAGCAGGTCAAGGTACAGTTGACTCGGGCGGCCTCTACCATGAGGTGTGTCAGTTGGGCTATTGTCTCACCCGGAGGCCAAGAGGCGCGCCAGGGGGTGTCATCTTCTCTGTCTAAGGTAGATATGAGTTGATCAACACCTGTACGGAGGTTTGGCGAAAGGTCCTCTATACGACGACGCTCATCCTTCAGTTTATGGAGAAATACCTGTCGACATATTAACACCTGTCAACATACTGATAAACACTACCATGACAACTCACACTCTTTGGTTGAGTATTTGACACTCACAAGACCTTCAGACTAAATTCTCTTTGACTCCATATTGGTGTTGTGTGGTGATGTCAACACACGAGTCCCACTACTGGCCACTGCTCAAGAGTACTCTCACCCCAGCAGTTGGCATCACACATACAGTCATCAGCTAGTGTTTGGTGGAGACTCACCCTTGTGACGGTCACTTGAACAATGGGGGTGACATCAGGTGAGCGCCAGGCCAGCTTCAGTAGGCCGAGACCCTGGGTGGTGCTGGTGAGAGGCGCCCCAGCTGCCAGCAGGAGGCTCACTATCCTGGATCGATTACAGGTGATGGCCAGGGCGAGTGGTTGTGTGGAGTAGTCACCCACAGTCTCGGGCCGCGCCCCACCTCGCAGTAGATCACTGGCCTTCCTTACGTTGTCACTCCGGCTGATGACCCATAACAGCTGCTCTTGTGGGTTCTGAAAGTGAGGGATGCTGCCACTATTATATTGGTACTGTACAGCTGTTCTCATGACCCAACACACCTGTACAGCTGTTCTCATGACCCAACACACCTGTACAGCTGTTCTCATGACCCAACACACCTGTACAGCTGTTCTCATGACCCAACACACACCTGTACAGCTGTTCTCATGATTCAACACACACCTGTACAGCTGTTCTCCATGGACCCAACACGCAGCACACATGTACAGCTGTTCTCATGACACACACAGCTGTTCTCAACCTAACACGCCAGCACAGCTGTTCTCATGACCCAACACACCTGTACAGCTGTTCTCATGACCCAACACACACCTGTACAGCTGTTCTCATGACCAAACACACACCTGTACAGCTGTTCTCATAACCCAACACAGCACACACCTGTACAGCACACACCTGTACACAGCTATCATGACTCACCTGTACAGCCAACAACACACGACCCACACTTACTGTTCCAGCACACACCTGTACACACACCTCACCTGTGCCCTCACACCAGAACACACACCTGTACAGCTGTTCTCATGACCCAACACACACACACCTGTACAGCTGTTCTCATGACCCACGCCACGCACACACCTGTACAGCTGTTCTGTTCTACATTTAACACACCTGTACAGCTGTTCTCATGACCCAACACGCCAGCACACACCTGCACAGCTGTTCTCATGACCCAACACACACCTGTACAGCTGTTCTCATGACCCAACACGCCAGCACACACCAGCTGTTCATGACCCAACACACACCTGTACAGCTGTCTTGACCCAACACGCCAGCACACACCTGTACAGCTGTTCTCATGACCAACACCCAGCACACACTGTACAGCTGTTCTCATGACCCTTAACACGCCAGCACACACCTGTACAGCTGTTCTCATGACCTAACACGCCAGCACACACCTGTACAGCTGTTCTCATGACTAACACGCCCACACCTGTACAGCTGTGCACTCATGACAACACGCCAGCACACACCTGTACAGCTGTTCTCAGCTGTTCTCATGACCTAACACGCCAGCACACACCTGTACAGCTGTTCTCATGACCTAACACGCCAGCACACACCTGTACAGCTGTTCTCATGACCCAACACGCCAGCACACACCTGTACAGCTGTTTTCCTGACACTATACTTGTCATGTTTGCAGTAGGAAGGTTTGAATTGGCAGAGGTGTGTGTGTGTGTGTGCCACTCAGAGCTCTGCCGAGACATGAATGCGTCTTGGTGTTGACTGAGTATGTCTTGAGAAGATAACTATGTCCTTCAGTCAGTCGAGTCTGCTACGCTACTACATACACACACTATAACACTACAACACTATAACACTACAACACTATAACACTACAACACTATAATACATAAGAGAAACACGTATAAAACCTGTATTATAAAACTCTGGAGGCCACAGAGTCCAATAAACTTGCATCACCCTTTAAACCTGTGTTTGTTGTTGACCAGAGATGAATTTTGTGAGGAAGGTCAGGCACTCATGGTGACCTTTCTTTAGTGCTATATCACGGGGAGTCTCATCACCCCAGGTCACCACGTCAGGATATACCCCACACTTGTGCAGTAGGGTGCGTACTACTTCAGGTTTGTTTAATTGTGCTGCCATGTGAAGAGGTGTGAAGCCATTGTCATCCTGCTGGTGAACGTCTAGCGTGAGGTGGGTGTTGACTCTGAGGGTGACGTATTCGTTATTGTGGATCAGCTGTGACAGTCTCCCATAGTCCGTCTTACATTTCCTCCAGCAATCTTTCTGTAAACATCATCATCATCTTTAGAATTAACATCACTAACAGGACAAAACATCAACAATTAAGACATCGTACTCAGAGAGGTTCAGACATCGTACACAACTCACACACACACACACAAAATAACCTCACCACATACACCCAATAACCTCACCACATACACCACACATTGACACAATAACGTCACCACATACACCCAATAACGTCACCACATACACCACATAGACACAATAGCGTCACCACATACACCCAATAACGTCACCACAGACACAATAGCGTCACCACATACACCCAATGCAGAACTGTACAAGCAGGCGGGTGAAGGTACTGCACCTCGACGACGGTACGTACCACTATCTGTAAGGTAGGCGTCTCAACAAGAGGTCGTGAACGAGGGAGCTTCCTGAGCCACCAGCCGAGGTAGTGGTAACCATAGAGGCTGGTTTGGTCCACAGGTGTGTTTCCGCATTTGGTCTTGGCATCTGGATCAATACCAGCCACTACCAGGTCTTGCGCTGCCTCTAACCCTCCTCCCTGTGCTGCCGCGTGTAGTGCCGTGTTGTTGTTTATGTCTAATACATGTGGGTCGCAGCGGGTATCTTGCAGAAGCTGTTGCACAACAAGTGTGTGATTGAGCAAGGATGCAATGTAGAGCGGCGTGCGACCGATTGAGTCCCTAGTGTTGGGGTCAGCTCCTTCACTCAGCAGTTCCTTGACACATGACTGGTGACCCCTGCTGGCTGCCACACGTAGGGGGGTGTAACCTGTGGTGTCAGGTTCACCTTAACTGATGATATAGACCTTTACGCCCCGAGTTGTATACACCCTCTTCCGCTGAAGAGGGTCGTCGTGTTTCAACCCGTTTAAAAAAAAACGAGTCCTGGGGCCGGATACTCTGTCATTAAAAATATTTGTACCCTAAGTGTGAACAATACAAACCTTCTGTTTTGATATAAAAATACTTGAACATTTGTAAGAAGACAAAAGATGCGTCTCTTCCAAACTACGACAAATACAAACAATCAAGTCTCTTATCATATACAAAAATGTACGAAAAAGACAAAGTGAAATTTCATATTTCAGAATGTTGATGTAAAATGTTTTATTCATTATTCTATGATAAAACAAGTCTAACAAACATTATTAAAACATATATTATTATTATTTATGCAATCGGGAGTTAGCGACTACTACAGTACATCCGGGTTGAGTGTTACAGCACCTAAGGAGATGGCATAAGTTATGCACTAGATTACGAGCTCACTTGGGGGTGGTGTGGCGGTAATTTTTTTTTTTTTTTAATGGGTTGAAACACGACGACCCTCTTCAAGGGTGTTTAAAACTCCGGGCGTTAGTGTTGTCTTGTACTAACACTTACATTTACCGGTTTGAAATACTTTTAATAAACATTCATCTACTTTCATACAAAGTTTCTAAGCCAAACCACTTATTAAAACAACTGTATACTCGACACACACACAATATACTCACCATTGTCGTCTACAGCCTCCAGGTTGGGTGAGCCTAGGAGTATTAGTCTCCTCACAAACTGGTGGTGACCAGACTGAGAGGCCCAGTGTAGCGGCGTGTAGCAGGACTGCCCTGAACCATCTGCTGAGAGTCCTGCTAGCAGAAGAGGAGATATCAGTTGACTGTGGCCCTCCCTCGCCGCTTTGCTCAGTAGACAGAGACCTTTATCATCAGAATCAACGCTGACGATGGTGGTGGGATCAGCGCCCAGGGAGAGAGAGTCTTTCACCTCCTCTGCGTTACCAGAGATGACTGCCCTTTCCAAGTTCTGTTGCAGACGTGAAAGTGAGTCTCTACCACGCACACACACACACACACATATACGGTATACATATATATAGCAGAATATGTGACCTTGATATATAGTAAACATTTATCAGAAGGCAAATTTAAATACATATATTAACTATGATTGACCAGACAAGAAGTAATGAAGAAGGTAATTGACAGGTGTGCTTCAGGTAATTGACAGGTGTGCTTCACTCACTATTGTTGCCAAGCTCCTGAATCCTGAAGACGCCATACCTGTCTGAGAACACCTGTGGAGGGGAGGTTAATGACACGTGATTAATGTAGTACACCTGTTGGATAATTACCTGTATATTCAGACATTGATTATATAGAACTTGATATATTGTACACTTAAATTACCTGTGTCACCTTGTTATGTTGGCCGGCCATTATGGTAGAGTAATTAGCAGGTGGAGGCTCACAGGTAACGCACTACTTGAGGTCATTGTCGCACAGGTGTGATAACGTGTTACCTCATCCTCGGGCATTTTCCCTCCCCAGTGTGGCCATGTGCGATGATTGGAGACTTAGAGACACAGGTGATGATTGGAGACTTAGAGACACAGGTGATGATTGGAGATTTAGAGACACCGGTGATGATTGGAGATTTACAGACACCGGTGATGATTGGAGACTCAGAGACACAGGTGATGACTGGAGACCTAGAGACACAGGTGATGATTGGAGACTTAGAGACACAGGTGATGACTGGAGACCTAGAGAGACAGGTCACGACAGCCAACAACGCCACACTCAACTTCAATACTGGTTGCTACACAAAGCTTACTAGCCTCTACCGACCCATACGAGTGATTAGATATCGTTTTTATCGCCTCCTGTTATCAGTTCATTGTTGTGTTGGTGACAAATGCCCGTCAATGAATTTATTGTATATTGTTTATATGTCAGCCCGCACACGTGAGGCTCATTATGCGTAAGGTTAGGTTAGGTTTTGTTAGGTTAGGTTTGGTTAGGTTTGGTTAGGTTAATCTACAGGTGAAATAAGCTGGGATGCCTATGATTTTCTGGTGGGCTAAATTTTTCATCTAATTCACACATACACACCTTATGTTTTTATTGAATACAAAGTTAATTAACATGTATCTCAGTTAATAATTAACATGTATCTCAGGTGATAATTAACATGTATCTCAGGTAATAATTAACACGTTTCCCAGGTGATAATTAACACGTATCTCAGGTAATAATTAACACGTTTCCGAGGTAATAATTAACATGTATCAGGTAATAATTAACATGGATTTCAGGTAATAATTAACACGTATCTCAGGTAATAATTAACATGTATCTCAGGTGATAATTAACATGTATCCCAGGTAATAATTAACATGTATCTCAGGTGATAATTAACATGTATCTCAGGTGATAATTAACATGTATCTCAGGTGATAATTAACATGTATCTCAGGTGATAATTAACATGTATCTCAGGTGATAATTAACACGTATCTCAGGTAATAATTAACATGGATCTCAGGTAATAATTAACACGTATCTCAGGTAATAATTAAAAGCACAAGATAACCTTTAACTCCGAACCTGATAACGTGCAGTCTTAATCAGTCCTTAGAGATTGATATGTTACTGAGGATGAGGGAGGCTAATGGAGGGTGTTGGAGGGTGATGAAGGGTGTTGGAGGGGTCTTGAAGGGTGATGAAGGGTGTTGAAGGGTGTTGGAGGGTGATGAAGGGTGTTGGAGGGGTCTTGAAGGGTGATGAAGGGTGTTGGAGGTGATGAAGGTGTTGGAGGGTCTTGAAGGGTGATGAAGGGTGTTGAAGGGTGTTGGAGGGTGATGAAGGTGATGAAGAGGTGTTGAGGGTGATGAAGGGTGTGATGAAGGGTGTGGAGGGTGATGAAGGGTGTTGGAGGGGTCTTGAAGGGTGATGAAGGGTGATGAAGGGTGATGAAGGGTGTTGGAGGCTGAGGGATGGGTGTTGTGTAGTTCTGTGACGTCATAATAATGTTCTGTGACGTCATCATAATGTTCTCTTGAGTCATTATAATGTTGTGGCTGGGTGGCGCCGAGAGGGCGTGGCTAGCTGACGACAGGAGGCGTGGCTGTGTGGTGCGGGGAAGGCGTGGCTATCTGGCGACGGGAGGCGTGGCTGTGTGGCGCGGGGAAGGCGTGGCTATCTGGCGACGGGAGGCGTGGGGCAGGACAGGGCAGGGCGCGGCAGTGTGTGTGTGTGTGCCCGTGTGTTACCGTGCGTGTCCCACTGCTGAGCCCCAACGAACCTTCCCAAACTCTCCGACGAATTCGATATTTTCCGAACTTTTATTTACGAACTTTTGTTACGACGTGTTGGTGGTGCGCCCGACCCAGGGAGGCAGGACTCCGTGAGAGCCCCTGGGCGGGGGCGTGGCCCCTCGCTGCCCCAGCCAGGTCAGTACAGGTCAAAGAGACCTGAGCCGAGTCGCGTGTTACCTGTGTTAGTAGTTACAGGCAGTGTGTGTGTGTGTGTGTTAGTATACCTTACAGTGTTTTTGTTCAAACACAAAAGTCAATTACTGTCTGCAAACTTTTGTTTAGTAAATAGATGGTGGGGAAACATTCTGGAACCTTACACGTCTTTAGTGTGTGTGTCTGTCTGTGTGAGTATTCATGTATGTATCAGTGTCTGTGGTGTGTGGCGGAGTGGATACAACACTCGCCCCTAAAGCTCGCTGGTTCGCTCCCAGGGTATCCACATCCCACCCAGCTGTGGTTTGGTACCTTACTTTACGGTTGAGGAAATGAACACGGACGAGTACAGTGTATTGTCTTAGGGAAACAGTAAATAATCATAATATTTCCTTCCTGTTATCTTAACTTTCTCAATTCCTGTGTTATCTTAGTTATAGTTTCTTAGTATTATCTTATTCCTTCTAAGCATTTTTTATTACATTATGTTCCGTTGAGAGATAGATAGATAGATAGATAATTCAATAAAATCGTCATACATGTCTTATAAACAATTTACCTAGACACTGCAGGTACATAAACAATGATAAACAGTAAGGTGTCTGGCCAAGTGTAGCCACCTGAGGTTATGGTCAGCTGTGCCATATGTTTTAACTCTGTTCTGTTCCTCGTGTTCCTAACCTAACCTTAACCTAACATCTCTTTACCTTACTAGTCAAACCTAACCTAACCTAACCTAACCTAACCTAATCTAACCTTAACCTAACCTAACCTTAACCTAACCTAACCTAACCTAACCTAACCTAACCAAACCAGTTACAAGGTCCAATAACAACTCCAGCAGCCATATTTAGAAAACATTCTCATCAAAATTCTGACATGATTTAGGCAACACAGCTCCTGATCCCCGTAGAGAGCCATAACACAACCCTGATAGCGCTGACACTGGTTCCTTAACTCCAGGTGATGCTCTCGCTCTGCATGTGTCTACAAGCGTTAGTGAGTTGGACAGCCCGCAAGTACACTCAGGTAAATGTGTCCTACTTGTGTGTGTGTGTGTGTGTGTGTTTTTGTGTGTGTACCTAAAGGGGCTCCCGCACACATGTATACACGCACCATACATAAAAGCATAATTATAATAAAAACGTACAGGGAAATCCACACATACACATACAACCCTCACACACACACACACACACACACACACACACACACACGTACTAGTACTAACTAACTATTGTCATTGTCACATTAACAAAAAAAAAGTTTGGTTTTCTTTACAACAAATAGACTCTCTCTCTCTCTCTCTCTCTCTCTCTCTCTCTCTCTCTCTCTCTCTCTCTCTCTCTCTCTCTCTCTCTCTCTCTCTCTCTCTCCTATTCACTGTTTTCTCTAATTACTCTTTATCATCTACGGTCATTATTATTCTTCCTTCATCACATTAATTAGGATCTTAGTTACGATACAGTGGTGAGGAGGAGGAGGATGAAGAGGAGGAGGAGGAGCAGGTGGAAGAGGAGGAGGAGGAGCAGGTGGAAGAGGAGTAAGAGGAGGAGGAGGAGGAGCAGGTGGAAGAGTAGTAAGAGGAGGAGGAGGTGGAAGAGGAAGAAAAGTTTGTGCCATTGCCAAAACCTAATCTAGCCAACATGGTGTCACCTCTCGCCCGCCTACTCGCATGGTCTGTTTGGTCATCCGCATAGTGTTACTGTGTGTTACTGTGTGTGTTTTCCTTCGCTTAGTGTTACAGTAAGAGTTTTTCCTTCGCTTAGTGTTACAGTGTTTTTCCTACACAGTGTTACAAGCAGTAGGGTATCTATTGAAAAGGTTTATACTATGATTCCTCCGCCTTCACACACTTAATAATATAACCCGTATACTTATGCACTTTATACCCAGTCTACATTCCCTCATTATGGCTGAGTTATGTTATATAACTAGGAATTAACAACATTCTTCAAGGCGGCAACTTGAACCCGGAAATACCACTAGAGGGAAGGTTGGTGTGTGTGTGTGTGTGTGTGTGTGTGTGTGTGTGTGTGTGTGTGTGTGTGTGTGTGTGTGTGTGTGTGTGTGCCACTAAAGTACAAATGTTAACACTCTTAATTTTAACATTCACTAATTCAATTACTCCAACCAATTCAACAACTAGTCAGTTCCATTCGTCAAACTCACGAATCACCAATTACACAACAAACTATATTTACCCTCACACAGTATTTTAATATTTCTCTCTAAAGCCACGATAAGCTTAAGAGGCTCCCACGACACCAGCTAAACCTGCGTTAAGTTCAAGATCAGACTCAGTAAACAGTGAATTTAAATATACTAAAGTCAATAACTATCACCAAAATACGACTAATCACTGCGGGATCTCTTTCATCCAGACCAATGGCAATATACACTTACTGCTTATTATAAACTGTGATTTATAACTAAATAGTTATATTTTATAAGGAAAAACATTTATAAATATACCAGACATACACTCGGCCCCTCCCTCCTCTCCTCATCCGGAAATTTATCTTCGCTCATATCAAGTTGAGAAAACGTCTCATATTTTTATTACTCCCGAGGCGCTGTTATCACCGCAGGGGTTGGTGTGCAGGGGGAGCACATGGTGTTTTAGAAGAGTTACAACCACGAAGTAGATTACACGTGAATGTCTTGAAGCAGATGTTTGGATGCTTTTGTGACTGGTGAAGGTCGTGTGTGGCGGTGGTAGTGTTTGGAAGGTTTACACAGTTACATAGATTAATAAATTATTTAAGACAGATGTCGGATCACCTGAAGATTCTCCCCCTTCCCTTTCATCCTTCTTCTCCTCCATCACTCTCCTTATCCTTCATTATCCTTGTCCACAATCTTCCTCCTCCTCCTTCGCTCTTACCGGGTATTCCTTCACTGTTTCTACCTTGTTCTTAGACGCTTATTAAACAAACTAACAGACAGGCAGAAGGAAATAGATGCTAAACCAACAGACAGGGATGATTACTTTATCATTCTTGCAGATGTTAAGTGTGGCCTAATCATTCTTAGGAGAGGTAGTTACTCTTCCTTATTGATTATAATAACGATACTACTACTACTACTACTAATAATAATAATAATAATAATAATGTTCTCAGTTGTTGCTACACCGCCTTAGTTTCGTAAGAGTGATGGTGAAAACGTTTACACAAATTAATGTAGTGCATTCGGTAAAAATAATGTTCGGTGAAGTTAAGTCAGGTCAGGTCAGGTCACGTCAGGTTAGGTTTGATAAAAAAAAGTTAATGTTTTCACCCGACAATTACCCTCGACTTCAAAGCCCTGCCTACTGTGTGTGATGAAAATTGTTGATACCGAGGTAGGTGGTCAAATTCTATTGAAACATGAAGGAATTAATATTTTGTTTTATTTCTGAGGTTGTCCTGTACCGACTCTTTACCGGCCAGGTGTATACTAGTGTGTGACAGTCCCCACGAGGCTCAGTGTGTGACAGTCCCCACGAGGCTCAGTGTGTGACGTCAGGGAGAAAAAGAGTGACTGCGTCGTGTTTACCTTCCGGTTGGTAATGGCTGGGGAGTTACCTTGAGTCAACACGTCACCGCTCTCCTCCCAGACGTAGTACAGTGTTTGTTATCATACTAACTACTTAAGGGATTATGGTCTTAAGAGTATAGCACATTGACGCAGTAGCTACAGTTGGTACAAATATGGTGAACTATAATGGTCTTAGTTCTATTCCACAGTTTGTTATATTCTCGTGACAATATCTGTATAAGCACATACGCACTAAGACCCCCTGCCCGCTTCCTGATTATGAGTCAGCCTTATGAGTCGACTCCACCTGACTCACACGTCAGTTGTGGCGCCATGGACACTCTTAACTCAGTAGTGGGTGGCACCATCATAGTGCACCACTGCTCATGTGCACTTTTAAACGTGTGCACCACTACCCATGTGCACAATTACACATATAGAGAAGCGAAGGAAGTGTGAGACACAAGAACTGCCCCCCACCACCCCCTACCTCACCCTCACAGTGCATCACACAGCTGGTCTCCTCCTCACACGAAGGAGGAGGGAGAAACACGTCAGGAATCTGTCGGGAACTGCAGTTGTGAGTTTCCCTGCGTCACTCTACCCTGCCACCTAGAGGGTAACCTGTGCGTGTTTATGAGTGACGGGAAAAATACGGAAGCTACGTGTGTCTTAGTTGTGTGAAGACAGTGTTACTATTATTATTGTTGTTGTTGTTGTTGTTGTTGTTGTTGTTACTGTTGCCTGGAGGACCCAGAACCCACCCCTGGGAGGTATGTTGGGTTAAAAGCAGGGTGGGTCGTTCACAGTGTCCCCTATAACCCACCCCAGGAGGCAGGAAGCACCTTTAAACCATTAGAGAGGCAATAAAGGCTCAGCAGCACATGGCAGCCTCCCCTCCCGGCGCCACAACGCACACACGCCAGTGTCTTGTCTCTTGGGAATTTGGTTCGATCTCGGGGACCTCACAGTCTACGCAGGTTTAAATGGGTACCAGTACCTAACTTTACAGATGGGGAAGTGATGGCAGTAGAGTGCAGTGTCGATAATTTAGTACTGTACAGGTATAGTGTTTTGGATTTGGTGGGAGTATTATACTGTATATGCTTATTTTTATTTCGGATAGTCCGGACTTTTGGTTAATCCGGACTATCCTCCTCACATTTCGTCCGGATTATCGAATACGTCTCGGATACCGCCATGACAATATCCACACGCTAAATTTAGTCAAAATCCATCATAACCCACCGAACAGGCAGGCCCCCCCTCCCCCCCCCCACAAGGACTCTGTGAGACGAAACTACACGAAATTCTTCAAGTTGGAAGTTAGTGGCTGTGATGTGATACCTACAGCGTAACGTAACTAGTATAGTTAGACCACCAGGCTGACGGTGTGTCTGTTAGCCAAGTGTGTGTGTGTGTGTGTACGTGCTACCTTGACCTCCTCCTCCTGTAAGATAGAGTGAGAACAAATCTTCAGGTCATCCGGATTGGGGTCTATTAGAACTGGGCCCCATCTGACCCCCCCCCCCTAATACCTTCAACAGGTGTCATAATAAACCCCCAAACAGGAGCCCTTGTTACCCGGGGGAGCGACACACAGTCATCACTATATCGGGGTTGTGAGTGACACCTGAGCCGGGTCGTGTTCACCTGTGTTGATGTAATGTTAATGATTAGTTGTTGGTGGAGGATGTTGTTCTCTCTCTCTGTAATGACTTAATACTCTTTATCTGTCTATCTCTCTTTCCTTCTTCCCTCCTATTAATTACCCTTCCTTCTGCCCTTTCCCTTACCTTCCTTCTCTCCTCCCCCCCCCCAGGGTAACTTGGCAGAGCCCACAGACCCATGGCATCACATGACAGTGTGTCTGGTGCATTCACTTCCTGGCTCTCTCTCTCTCTCTCTCACAATTACATATAAATTCATAATTTACGGATAAAATAATCTTATATTAAATTACCTTAAGGCATTAACTGGTGTGAACACGAGAGAGAGAGAGAGAGAGAGAGAGAGAGAGAGAGAGAGAGAGAGCATCACCTGCAGTGTGTACCACCTGAGAACTTGGCACCAGCTGCCTTGATGAGGTAACCACCTGGGTGTGTTGCACAGCGTCCAGCCCCTCTCCCCTCACCTTCACCCCTCTCCCCTCACCTTCACCCCTCACCTCTTGTACCCCTCTCCCCTCATCTTCACCTTCCTCCCTTCATTTAACAATAGAAAGGTAGCTGTAGTGGTGTTAAGTGTGTGATCAGCAGGTGGGGTCAGCAGGTGTGGTCAGCAGGTGTGGTCAGCGGGTATGATCATTAGGTGTGGTCAGCAGGTATGATCATTAGGTGTGGTCTGCAGGTATGGTCAGGTATGGTCAGCAGGCATGATCAGTATTTGTGGTCAGTAGGCGTGGTCATTAAGTATGATCAGAAGGTGCGATCAGCAGATGTGGTCAGCAGGTGTGGTCCCACCTCACCATCACCAGCAAGATGTGGTCGCGTGTGTCACCAGCCAGC